CGATAAGAAGTTTCATATTGTCTAAAAAGTGAGAGAGATTTTGGTATGTCGTCTAAAAAGCGAGGGAGAAAGCAGAAGACGAAAGAAATAAACAGGAAAAAATGGACTAAATGTATATAAAAAGTTATAAAAGGTCAAAAGGGGATGTAAACTATGTTTGTTGTGGTTTCTCATACATGCAAATACTAAATATGCTTGTTTTGTTAAAAAGTGTGTCTATGTCAGTTTTTTTGCAAGCATGGAGCTGAGACAGAAATGGTCTATTTGTGCTGTTATGGGTCTGACTTCAAAACTTTATCACTGAGCTCTGATTACTAAATTTGGGTTAGCAGAAATTCAGATGACTTTTTGGTATAGATAATGTTAAAACTGCTATATGCTGTTTTTTAAAATTGTATTATGGCTGGGTGGTGGTGGCACACGCCTTTAATCCCAGCACTCAGGAGGCAGAGGCAGGCGGATCTCTGTGAGTTCGAGACCAGCCTGGTCTACATGAGCTAGTTCCAGGACAGGAACCAAAAAGCTACAGAGAAACCCTGTCTCGAAAATCCAAAATAAATAAATAAATAAATAATAAATAAAATTGTATTATGGCTCTTCCTCTGTTAGACCCGTGTTTTATTTACTTAAAATCTATGCATGGGTAATTTAAAAAAAATCATAAGGCACAATTCTATTTTAAATTTTAAATTGCCATTTTGCTAGAGTTAAAAAATGGATGCCACATGATTTCACTGCCATCTTGATTAAAGATGACCACGTGGAGTGGGCCTAACAGATCTCCAAGATAGTTTGGATTAAAATACACCTCAATGTTTTTGTTTTTTTCAAGACAGGGTTTCTCTGTAGTTTTAGAGCCAGTCCCGCCAATCCTGGAACTAGCTTTTGTAGACCAGGCTGGCCTCGAACTCACAGAGATCCGCCTGCCTCTACCTCCCGAGTGCTGGGATTAAAGGCGTGTGCCACCACCACCTAGCTAACCTCAATGTTTTTATACTCAAAATGTACCTTGTTCTGCCTGCTAGACTTTGTTAAGAGTCACCCAGGTGATAATGGTTATAAAGACATAAAGGGATCATAAAAAAAAATAAAACAGCTAAGGTTTACAAATGTATAACAGGACTAGAGTCCCAGAGAATATACAGTTGCAACAATGGACCTTAATGGTTTTAGAAGTGCCAGTGCTAGGTGATCGTCACCAGAAGCACCGGGTACAGTGAAATGGAGCAGGCTGAGATCTAAAAATCAGGCTGTGTATGTGCTGTCGAGGGTGGGACCAAGGAAGTACTTTATTTTTGATATTGCAGAAAGCCATTTAAGAGATTTTAGGTTTTTAAATAAATTTATAAGGCTGTGAGACATCTGTGCTATAAAATGTCTTATATTTTATATCGTTAGGGTTTAAACTCTTTGGATAAACTGAGTCATAAATTTCTGTATTAATACTAAGAGGTTTAGACCTCCTCTTCTGGGGAAAGAATGCTGTTTCTATGTCAGTCACTCTGGGGTTATTAAGAGATTCAATGGCCTTGCTAATGACAGAAAACAGTGTAGTAATAAGGGGCGGCTGGGCTGCGTTCCCAGCACCCCGGCCGCCTGCTCGGCTTATGCCCGAAATAACAACACACAAACTGTATTCATTTAAACACTGCTTGGCCCTTTAGCTCTAGCCCTTACTGGCTAATTCTGATATCCTGATCAACCCATCTCTAATAATCTGTGAGAACCCGTCTTACCGGGAAGATTCTAGCCTAGTCCATCCTGGGTCGGAGCTTCATGGTGTGTGTCTGCCCGGGAGCGGGGCATGGTGTCTCTGCTCCAGCGAGCAGAGCTGTCAAGTCTGAGCTCACTTCCTGTTCCTCCCAGCATTCTGTTCTGTTTACTCCTCCCACCTATCTTCTAACCAATAAAATGGGCCAAGGCAGTTCCTTTATTAGCCAATGACCTTCCTCCATCAAAACAGAACGCTCACACTGAACGTAAAAACTTGTTCAACTGGTCTCCTTGATTAACAACCCCGCTTCCAGCTCCAACCGGCCCCTAATTAGCTGCTTCTTATCAACAGACCAATGGCTTTTGTTCGAGAACAGGTCAATACTGCTCAACTGATGGTATAGAGGTTCCAGTATCACCCCCTTGAGCCCCTGGACAGACAGGACCCATGATTGAGTCCTGTCATTGGTACTTGTGAAGGAGGAAAATGTTGGGCCCAGGGCAGCTTTCTCAGGTCAACTCGGTATACACCTGCTAAGATGGGTTCTATAGATCAGCAGGAAGGTAGGCCTGAGTCTCAGTTTGCCCAAGGGCAATGCCAGCCCTTAGACTCCCTCCTGTTCCCATATCACCCTGGGACCTGTTCCTTGCCTTTGCAGGAGACAACATTAACAATTAGATATAAACTTGTTCTGTGTTTACCCTTGGAATGACTAATTCAGTTTCTTTATTAGCTTTAATTCAAAGTCATGACAGAGTGTGGAGTTCTAGTCTTGTAAAAGCTGCTAAATTATTATAGACTGTCAGAAAATACAAGTTAGTCATCTTTAAAGTACCGATATGATTAGTTACAGAAATAAACCTTATTTAGTTCCCTGTATATGTTTTCAAAATCAAACTTAAAACAAAAACAAAGTTTGTCTAATTAGACATGCCTAGGCAGCCCTCATACTTCAGAGATCTACAGAATGTGGCATTTAAAATAATAATTAAAAAGCCTATTATATTAGACAGAGACTCTGAGATCCTAGCATTAACCCAAGGTCTCCAGAGAAGATTATAGACACCATGATGTCTCCACCTGGATTATGACGACGCTGACCACTGGACGAGATGTCCCAGTGCAACACCAGCTGCCAGGACCCTGTCTAGACTGTGGACAAACAGCCGGACCTTGGAGAATTGATTGCACCACTTTTGCCTAGACAAAACAAGGTCAGTCTTTTCCATGTCCCTCTTCCACAGAAAAGGAAAAATTCACCTTCTGGGCCTGGCTTAGACAGTTGCTGTTCTGGATATTTCTGTCTCCAATACTATGGAGACCTGGTCATGACTAACCGTATATAGACTTTGGTTCTTGTCATTTTTAATAGATTTAAAAACTATTATTTGGTCTGTACTCAGATATACTTTATTTATCCTTCAGAGATCTCTGATAGTATTAACAGCTAGGGCAGATATAATGTCAGTTTAGCAGCAAAAGGTATCCAGATTCTTCCACCAATCTATAACCAACTTGTAAGCTCATTAAAAAATGTTTTAAGGCCTGAGGATATAAAAGTTCATAAGCTTTGAGGGTCTAAAAGAAATGACTTAAGATATGAAAAATGTTTCTAATCCTCCCCATGGAGTTCTAATAAGCTGATAGAGTAATGACTACTTGCTATGTGGGTCAGAAGCTCAAGATTTTAGATTTATTCTGGTTGCCATTTAAATATGAACTTAAAGGTGTTTCTCATTGGGCCAAAGGCATCTCTGTCAAACCAGACGTGGTTCTCTGAACAGCAGAAAAATATACATGTTTCTAACCAAAATCTGTAGTTTTTGCTAGGACTCAAAGGTATGAGTCTATTCCTTCTGTTTACAGATACCCGTTATCTGCTCTTTTTCTACAATATGGGTTTTTTCTTTAAGTTAAATTTTAACTCTGTTCCCAGTTTAAACTTATCTCAATCGGCTTCCACTTGGCTGGTAGATGCGTCTAAGCATCAGTTGCTGACTATAACCTGCTCTGAATGGTGGCGAGCCCTGGACTTCCTGAAAGCTGATGTGGACCAGTCCAGCTGATATGAACACTCCCTGTTCCTTCAACAAAGTCTGATGAGTGTCCCATTGCCTAAATGTCCCCCGCCTACACAGGATTTCTCTGTGTAGCCCTGACTGTCCTGGAACTTACTCTGCTTCCAGGCTGGCCTCAGACTCACAGAGATCCGCCTGGCTCTGCCTCCTGAGCGCTGGGATTAAAGGCGTGTGCCACTGCCACCAGGCCTAATTGAACATTTAAAACATCTAAAGAAAAGACTGAAATTTTAATTTACAGTTAATAAGAGTTTTAAATCTACATCTAAAATAAAGAAATGTTAAAAACGAGTAAGAAATTAACAAAAAGTTGAAAGATTGTATAAGAACTAAAGATAAATTCTAAAAAAAAAATAATTTAGGCATTCTCCGGCTGTGTTTTCTGCTGACTTTTCCTTCTTTACCTTCAAACAGCGAAATTTTCTATGAAAAAAGAAAGAATTGTGCAGCCTAGAAGAGATCCCATTCTAAAAATTTCCCATCATGAAGGTGATCTCTCTTGATTATTAACTATTAAACAAGAAAGGAAAATAAACTAATCCTACCTTACAGCTTTACCTTGGAACTATCTCCTCTCACTAAATTTATTCTGTGTCATGGTGACTGTCTTCATCCAATTCCTTTGTCATTTTTCACTCTGAGGAAGAACTTAAGCCTGTGAGCATCTCATTTATCATTTAAAAACCTTTATTTTGTGCTTCTCTTAGTATGACTAATTTTGTTTTTAAGATTTATGCTATGTGTACAAGTGTTTGGCCTGCATGTACGTATGTGCACCACATGTATGGCTGTCACCTCAGAAGAGCCATTGGATCCCCTGGAACTGGAGCTGTGAATGGTCATGAGCACCCGTGGGTGCTGGGAATTGAACCCAGGTCCTCTGCAGGGGCAACAAGTGCCCTCAGCCGTTGAACTATCTACCACTCCAGCCTCAATGCCAGGCCGGATTTAAATGTGGGTAAACATGAATGCGTGAGACATATTAAAAGGCCTGATAAATACATACTGCCTTATGATAAATACAGGTACCCCTAACTCCCTACTAACCTACTAAAATTGTATTTTTTTGCCTATCAAATGTTTCATTAACCCTTCAAGTGCTATTTGTGTCTATGAAATGAACACCATCCACGCATCACAGCATGGAAGCCCTATTAAGTCATCACACGGGACGTACCGATTTTAATAAGGACTGTCTTCCAAACTGGTACTGGAAAAAATTAAAACTTTATTTTAATTTTTAAAAAAGGTCAAGGGTAACAAAAATAAAACAGCATCAAAATGCTTTATTTTGACCCAATTCTTTGGACGCTGTGTTGAGAATTCTGTTGGACTGGCTCCTCCTATAAGAGTGCTCCTACTGTACAGTGATGGATGTAAGACTTCCAAGTGAGGCTGAGATACATCTAGAATGACGCACAAATTTGCCAAAGAGCTTTAACTTGAACTTCCTTTCCATAACGAAAATTATAGAAGTTACAGTATCACCAAGCAGTAACATCAGACTGGGTATACTTACTCTGTGTAATAAAAAGGACATATTATTAAGCCTTACCAAAACAGTCTCCCGTATTGTGGTTAGAACTCAGTGCACTGCTGCAGACTTACTTCTCTGGCGACCTCGGCAGAGACAACAGACTGCACCTGATAGGCATTAAAGCTGTTAAAGGTGGGCACTAGATGTGTGGAGACCGGATACAGCCTGTGGGGGTCATTCTAAGGAAGTGGCACCAGTGTCTCCACAGCCTCAAGAACACCTTGAAGACAAGCACCTACTCCTAGCTATGAAAAGGCTGAAGGACTTAAAGGATCTCTTCAGACAACAAACGGGATGCTTTCACTTCTTAAAGGCAAAGATAAACTCTATTACAAATCTATCAGTAATTACAACCGTATGCTTTGCTTTTTTTCATTATTTTTCTTTTGGCACTGTTGGTACTCTGGTTACAACCCATAGTATCTTTCCTTTAATCCATTCTACTACTGGATTTTTTCCTAATTTTTTTTTTTTTTTTGTATTTTACCATGATCTCAATATATAACCATCAGTTGGGATTTTTTGTTTGTTTGTTTGTGTGTGTATGTGATTTTGTTTTGCTTTGTTTTTTAGCAGTCTAAAGGACCATACCCAGAACAATTTACACAAGCATAGCTTTGGTTTTCCTGACTCAGGTCCTTCCTGGGGCTACTTCTGGTATAATCATAATGTTCTTGCACTGACAACTTTTCAGAGATTTATTACTTTAGGTGTATGGATGTTCTGCTTGTATGTGTACCATGTGTGTGTCTGGGGCTTGCAGATGCCAAAAGAGGTCGCTAGAGCCGTAGGAACTGCAGTGATGGAGGTTGTGAGCTACCATGTGGGTGCAATCAGACCCAGGTCCCCTGCAAGAGCAATTAGTGCTCTCAACTGCTACACCATCTCTTCAGCTCAAATTCTTGCATTTTTAGTCCTGTACAATTTGTATCTTCTAGGATATGACAGTTTCAAACTTAGCTCATTATGATAAAGGGATTCAAGTCAACCCCCACAACAAAAACTCCAAAGCCTCCTCTCCAACCAACAGAAACAACAGGAAGAGAGCTTTGTGGTCTCTCTTTGGCAAGGATTACACTCCTCATCAGCACAGATTTACACAAAATAGACTATTATCCTTTAGCCCCTCGGAAAGTGTTTTGGGACCACAGCTCTGAGGATGGGGTAAAGTGAGGTAGGCGAACAGGAAGTTCTAGAGGCAAACAAACAAAAAGCAACCCCAAGGAAGACTGGAAACCTCTCCAAATTTGGTATATGCATAACAAAATAGTATGCTTTAAAATAAGCTCTACCTCTCTAATTGCCAAGAAAGATGGAGGCTCTGCTGACCAAGGACCTTTGCCAGTCCCATTCCTAGTGAAAGATCTCTATTTCCATCACTATCCAAGTACACAGGAACCTGGGCATCTCAGCGGGTGCACTCTGGACTCTGACTCATGCCTACAGCGACAGTACAACTGAGGTTCTCTCAAATTATGTTTTGGCATGTCTTGCTTTTATAAAAGGTGTGTTTGTTTAATGTTGGTCTTTAAAATGTACCGAGACTACCTAATAAACCAAATGCTTTTTGTTTGTTTGAGATCTCACCTTGAAGGTGTTCTGGAACTATGTAGGCCAGGCTAGCCTTAAACTCACAGAGATCCGCCTGCCTCTGCCTCCCGAGTGCTGGGGTTAATGGCGCGCATCACCCTGCCAGGCTAAGGCTTCTTAATGACTATTGGAAAAATGGGAAAGTTGTTTTTATCAATTTTGCATGAGAAAAAACCCCTACTTTTCCTTTGAAGCCTTAGCTCAGGATGCAATCAATAGATACATGACCTTTCATTTATTTTTGTGACAATCAATTCAATTTCCTGACACTCAGATTAGACCTATCTGCCTCCCCATGAGACTTGACTGCTATTACTGACTTTTAAAATTTTAGATGCTGCAGAAGTTACAAGTCAGTACTGTTTTAATACTTGTATTTCTTCTCCTCAAAAAATGAAGGAGCAAATACTTTAATAAGCTTTATGCAAAACAGGGTTAACCTGACACAGGTGTCTGGGTATAGCCATGACCTCTCTGAGAACTGGAAAATACTGCACAATGCAAGAAGTAAAAAACGTCCAACTTTCCCTGGTAACTTCATTTAAACTATGCTGTCATACAGAAAATGGGTAGGCCAGATCACCAGTTAAATTTGCTAGACGCAAAAATAATAATAACTTGAAAATCAAAGAAAGCAAAACAACAGACTTTAACTGGTGAAAGACAGGAGCCCTGAAGGAACTCCCAACCGGATGACAGACGGCCGGCCCCTTGACTGGCTGTGGGCCAGAGCCCGAAACAAACTGGTGGGGTGAGAACAGAGCCCACGCACTGGCAGGTCGGAGTCTGCTTACGGCGGTCCAGCTAGCACCAAGGCAGATAGTGAGGGGCTATCCAGGCAGCTACAGCCAGGGCTTTCTTTTCCTTTTTAAACATTAAAAAACCACGTGAGGTTAATATAATAATATAAATCAAAGTTGACACAGCCTAAGTACTGGCTCACAGTCAACCATCTGGAAATGGGATTTTGTCAGTCCTTAATGACTTTGTTCAATATTTAATCAACAATTAGGAAAGGTATAATTAACATATTAGCTTTTTCCATGAATGACCAGCACAGACTGTTAACCTGTTAAGAAACGCCCAACTTCTCCCACTCCAGAATATAAATATACACCCATCAGTTTCTCTATAAGCATCTTAGGTCACAGACAAATGAGATAAAGCCAGGAGCTAAACAGTCAACAAACCGATGCTCATTCTGTGCGGCTGAGTCATCCAGCTCTTGTGACGGGCATGGTGTCTGAATGTGCACGTCTTTGGGGACTTCTGGACCATCTTGCCAGAACTACAGCAGATGCTTTTGTTTCCTTGATAGAAGAATTCATCAGTGCTTCCTCTGAGGTTCAAACATGACCATGGGCCAGATCCCAAAGAGAAACTGTGGAGACAGGTGAGGACAGGATGAGAGGAGAGACTGCTCTATGCCTGAAGAGGAAGGAGGATTAACACATCCTGGGGTCTGCACGGTAACACGTGTTAGGCTGTTAGTATGAGCAGCCTGAGCACAGCAAGGGCCTTCCTGACATCAGCTCTCAAAATCTACTTTCAGTTCATCTATGCAAATGAAGTAGGCATGTAATCTGTAACTCCTAAAGGAACTGGGGGGCAGACTTGTGTGCACATACACACATGTGAACACAGGTAGGCATGTAATCTGTAACTCCTAAAGGAACTGGGGGCAGACTTATGTGCACATACACACATGTGAACACAGTGCTTGTGCAAGTCAGAAGAGGGCACTGGGTCCCCAAAGCTGGAGTTAGAGGTGGTTGTGAGGCGTCTCACATGGGTGCTGGGAATGGAACTTGGGTCCTTTGAAAGAACAGGACATGCTTAACTGCTGAGCCATCTCCCTAGTCCCTTAATCTTCAAGTTTTAAAATAGTGCTGTAATGTAGCTACCAATAGCTCCATTCTGTTGAAGTAACTCGGGTTTAAAGAAGCTGCTTCTCTAAGATCACAGAGTAGGAGATGGAGAGCGAACACTTCAGAACTGATGTCTGCTGCCCTCTACTGCTCCATAGTTCTGTTGTCTCTCACATCCACTTCCTCTTCTACCACCACCCTGCCTCACAACAAGACTTACCTTCACTTTTGGCCTGTATCTCAGGTAAAGTGTTCTTGTATATAAACTGAAAGAAAAGTGGAAAAATTTCTTAGACAAATCAACTCATAGACTTTAACTTCAGGTGTCTGTAGTTTAGACCAAGCATCGCATTATAATGCCCCATGTGGTTGGTATCACAAGTCCACCTTTGCAAACGCAGCTGGAAGAATTATTTAAATAAAGGCATGAGAAACCCAGAGAGTAACAGTTCCGTTGGTGTCTGTCTTTAAAGTGAGTCACTGCTGGAGCTGAGGTTAGACCAGCAAAGCAGAGCACACGGCAGACACTGGGCTGTCAGGAATACATCACAGTTTTATGTACACTACACTATTTAAATGCACTGGAATAGTGACAAATGTACCATGACCACAATACAAAACATAATTTTCTAATATTTCTAATAAGAATGTAAACATTGCAAGAACCTAGTTGTTAAATTTGTAAAACTTAGTGTGACTGTGCTACATTTTCCTGTACACACGAGTTCCTCAGTTTTGTTTCTCACGCACCTTCTGGTCTTAAAGAATACACGATTACATGATTTCCATTCTGTAGTCTGACCTTCAACCTCCATCACTTGTCCCTCAAGATCAGACCCAAGCCACCATGAATTTCTGGTTCAAAAAAAGGGGTTTTTTTCTTTCTTTCTTTCTTTCTTTCTTTTTTTGGAAGTTCTGGCTGTCCTAGAACTTACTCTGTAGACCAGGCTGGCCTTGAACTCAGAGATCTGTCAGCCTTTGCCTCCTGAGTGCTGGAGTTAAAGGTGTGTGCCGCCACCGCCGAGCTTCTTTTTCCTATAAACATTTCACTTTGTTCCCACAAAGATTCTGAGGCTAACGTGCCATTGGTGAAGACATGACCACGTACACATCCATTCATTAAAGACATACCCTGGTTGCTGACTACATATTAGGCGTTATTCTTACATCTGAAAGATGGCAAAGAATAGGTAAGTCCCTGCTCGGATGAACTTATACCCGGCTGGGGAGGAAGATGAGTAAATACAAACGTAACTCATCATAAACAGTTTGAGGGGTAACAGAGACAGCTCAGCACTGGTGGCTCATAACCATCTGCAGCTCCAGTTCCAGGGGACCAGATGGCCTCTGCTGGCCTTTGCAGGCACCAGGCACACACGTGGCACACAGAAATGTGTGCCAGTAAAACATAGTAAAATAAACTAAAAATATATGTGCAGGCAAAACAAAATAAAAGTAAGTTGTTTTTTTTTTAAATCAATCACAAATAGATGGTTTGAAGGAAGATAAGGCCTAATAACTGGGAAAAGGATGCTAAGGAGGTATGACTTGTCCATTTTTGCCAAAAGTGTCTAATCATAAACAGTCTCAAAGAGAACAAAGTGATAACCAAGTTATTTCTGGAAAAAGAGCCTTCCACCCCCGAGAAGGTCTGGACTGAACACTCTAAGAACACACACCCTCACACCCTCTTGTGAGACTTGGGTGTGAATGGGTCTTGTGGAACTAGTCAGCTGTCAGCCATCTACTTCTGGAGTACACATGAGGGAATCCCCAGCTCCAGCTGCTCCTGATCTCATGCACATGACACACACGACATAATGTGAGAAGGGAAGGAACTCTTTTTTCAAGGATTTCTCTGTAGTTTTGGAGCCTGTCCTGGAATTAGCTCCTGTAGACCAGGCTGGTCTCAAACTCACAGAAATTGGCCTTCTTCTGCCGCCCGAGCGCTGGGATTAAAGGCGTGCGCCACCAGCATCTGGCTGGGAAGGGAATTCTTATGGTCACCCAGTGGCAAAGGCAGTGCTGAAATGCTGATTCTGTCTCCAACATTTTATATTTACACCTTCCTTCTTGAAGCATAAAGTCAAAAAAAAAAAAAAGGCGAAACTCTTCCAATACTACATCAAAAAGCCTTTATTTCCTACCTGAAAAGGATGTGAAGATAAGAGCCCAGGCCAGTTAAAATATGCCACCATGCATGAAACTGTGTCGTGACACCAAGGATAGGGGGTGCTCTCTTTCGAAAGTTCCTGTGTGGAGAAGGGGAGGGCACTTTTATAACTGAAGATATGTTACACTTTGAAATATTGTAAAATATGGAAATTATTTAAGTTCTGTACACTCACTGTATTGTTTTCTAAAAGGGTATTGTGGAACAAACAATACTTCCAAAAGGTTCATGAAGAAATGACTCAAATTAATGTAGAAGACAATTTACTGACCTCTTATTAACTTTAATGTATTTAATTAATTAAAGGTTTTGAATAGTCTTACCCAGAATGCATCGTTCTGTTCCAGGTAACCATTAAGCCATGGAAACTGTTTTTAAGTAGTGCTTTATTAATACTTAGGAACAGCTACTTTCTGGAACTCACTTTGAAAAACACAAATACAGTTAGCTATCTGCTCAGGAAAAGGAAAGAACACACACGCACTTCCTTTCATCTCAGTATACCACTATATAGCTTATAAATTCTTTTAATATCTACGGTTTCACATCTAAGTGCTTCTTTGAGGAAGTGGGCATTAGCAAAACTGTATGTGGCAGGAACTTAAAATTTGTAGATTAACATAGTTCCCCAAGTAAGTTACCTGAGTCTGGGTGGGTCTCAAACTCTTTTGATTAAATAAGTATATATCATACTAATATTCACTAGAGAAGAATACTAATGTGGAAAGCCAACTTGAGGCCACCATACGGAGTTAGTGGGTCACACCCAGGGATGGCTACCCGCTCAGCTCTCCTAGGCATTTTGCTGGATGTTTCTAGTTCAGAAACATGCATCTAGATCTTAGTTTCCCAGGTTTCAAGTAGTCTAGGCTAGCTTTCATGTCTTGAACCTCCTACCTAGAGTGCTGGGATTATGGGCATACACCACCATATCCAGCTTGATCTTAGTATTTAGTGTATATTTATTTGTCTATATTCACATAACTTTTTAGTATAGGGATCTAAGCAAAGAATATACTTATCTATGTTTAAAGTCCCACATGTACATATACAACATATGTGGCGGGAGCATCTGCTTGTGACTCTAACATTGGGAGATGGAGACAGGATGCAAGGAATTCAAGACCACCCTTGGTTATTTAGTGATCTCAAGGCCAATCTGGGCTGTATGAGACCCTGACTCAAAAAAAAACAAATCACCCTCCTCAAAAGTAAGCTAAATAATAATCCTTACAACCGAACTTCAATAATTATCCAATTATGCTAAATCCAAGTCATCTGAACCTTCATTAATGTCTCTCTCCCACGTTACTTTGAGGAAAAGTCTAGACATATTTTATCACTAGATATTTCAGTATATGTCACTAGAAAAACTTCTTTAAAACATAGCTATAATACTATTTTCATATCTAAGGTATTAGTAATAACCCTCTAGTATAAAAACTTAATTATTAATCAAGTCCAATACTTGTGTTCATGTCTTCACAGTGAACCAAGACCACAAAGGCTAATAATGACATTGTTAACCACTGGCTTTGGTTTTTGGTGCTGGTGACAAGTGCTTGACCATCTGAGCTGATGTTAGCATGCATAATATCTCTCTCAAGTCCTTTAATCTTAGGCTATACCTCCCTCCTTCTCCTTTCCTGTAATAAATCTGCAGAGACCAGGCCACACAACTTCCAGGTTTCTAACAGTCTAAGGCCTTGCTGACTGATGCCGTCCTTGGCAAGGTTAACCTGCATTCCAATGCTTATGTTTCATGAAGCAGATTAGGTCATTTCTTTTCTTTTTTCTTTTCTTTCTTTCTTTTTTAAAGACAGGGTTTCCTTGTGCAATAGTCCTGGCTATCCTGAAATTCACTTTGTAGACCAGGCTGGCCTCGAACTCACAGAGATCTGAATGCCTCTGCCTCTCAAGTGCTGGGATTGAAGGCTTGTACCACCACACCAGTTTTCAAAGATACAGTGAATCTGTGATTAACTGTATAGTTTTTGATACACACATACAAAATAACCCAAGATTATAAAATATTCTGAGGTTTGAACTTTCAGGCAATGTAAATAGGTATTCCCAGAGTTTAATTTTACTGTGCTATACAGTGTCAACACTGGTAAAATTCATTTTAGGACACTAAAATGCCTACAAAATTCTCTGCTTAATATAATGCTTCCAAAATTATTTTCTAGGAATGAAAATATATCTTACCTCAGTGAATCACAGAAGATGTTATCTACATTCCACAATAAAAATCCCAACAAAAAGACAGTCAAGGACGTATAGCCCAGGCCTCTAAGCCATGGATAAACCCTGCAGGGAAAAGAAAAGCAAAATGACAAGTCTTCAAGCCCAGATCATGTGACAGCTGGAAATCATCATTTTTATGAGAAAGAAAAGTCCTCAGGAGACGAAGAGCAAATCCATTTATTAATTTAATGTCTTTGTCAAACATGTATTACATACTTTAAACAGATTTTTTTGAGGAGGGTCTTGCTATGTTCAGGCTGGTCTCAAATGTCTGGGCTCCTGCAGTTCTCTTGCCTCAACCTCCCAGGAGCAGCGACTACAGCAGGTTCACCACTGTGCCTAGATAGCTGCTGAACGTTTAGCTATTTAAAGGCACTGGAGAGAATGGCCCATCAAGACTGTTAAGTATATGAAGGAGATAGCCCGATACACTTGCCCAACAATTTTTCAGTGATGGGATTTCTTACTGATGGGAGAACTACTAACATTGAATCACATTCTCTGCCAGGCACTGAACACACACACACACACACACACACCCCTACATCACAGAATATACTAATACACCTGGAACTGGTTATGCCCAGCAAATACCACATTTTTTACCAAAAGCCTGAAAATATTTTGATTGTGATTTTTTTAACCTGTAGACAAAGCTGGAAAACTGACACCTTAATGATACTAACTTTTCTAACCTGTAAGGGAGTATCTCTCAAAGGGAGCATCTTTCTCAGACGGAGTATCTCTCTCCATTTACTTAGAACTTTAGTTTCTCAGGAAAATACTGTTGTTTCTAATGCACAAATCTGGAACACTGTCCAAGAATGGAGTTGTGTGACAAGAATTCTGAGTACTTCCGAGAAAACAAGACAAGGGTCTTACGAGCTCAGTTTCTTCAAAAGCACACTGTTCTCGGGATGTGTTTCTGCAGCCCTCCCTGGTAGTGGATGGGAGTGAGTTTCCTCCAGAGCACTCATCACCACTGGCTACTGCTGTCTGTTTACATGTCTTCGCCATGGGAGGCTTCTCCTGTGACTGTACACTTTACTATGTGACTCTTGTACACGCTGTGTTAGCCTCAAACACCATGTTAGACAGGACTTCTATCAGCACAATTCTGAGTAAAATGGTGATACTATAATAACCTTATTTTATTTTAGCTACTACAGGAATTGAAAAAACCCCACATTTTAGGTGTGCTATATGCTACAGAACTTATAGGCTAAGAAAATTCCTTTTTACTACTAATTGGTAAGGTCTTTTTAGATTGCGAATATGTGTCGAATTTTACAGGACACTTTCTGTAAATCTACAGTTATGTAGTTTTTACCTTTTATTTTTTAAATATGGTAAATAGTAAGAACAGACCTCGACTCCATTTTGTCTTTTCTTCCACATTTTGTTAAGGAGGGGAAGGCAGTTCTTGAAAAATCACTTAAATTTCTACCTTCTAAACTGCACAGTAAAGCGGATATTCCAGATGAACAGTGAGTACCCTCTGCACAAAACTGGACAGTGTCTACCCCACTTGGTAATGTGGTATGGGAGCAAACGTGAACAACTAGCCTCACTACATTTCTTCACAAATTCTCAAAGCAGTCGTGTGTGTGTGTGTGTAAAACCCAAAACTTTAGACTGAAGTTACCATCTTATTTTACTGGAGGGCATTTGCTTTTAGTATCTTTCTGGTTCTAGTTCATGTGACATGGTGATGAAAAAGAATTCAAATTATCCAGGTTTTAAAAAAATCATTGTATATGTATTTATTTTGTGTGTGCATGCATACAGGTGTACACCTGCAATGAGTACCAGGGTATACATGCGGAGGTCAGAGGCCAACTCAAAGGATTTGGCTCTCCTTTTCCACCATGTGAGATGGGGATTGAACTCAAGTAATCAGGTTTAGCAGCACCTTTACTCGCTGAGCAATCTTTTAGGCCCTCAACTAGAAATCTTTGTTTTCTGTTTGTTCTGAGGCTCTTGATACTAAAGACATCAGTGTGCTAGCATCTTCCAGGGCCTTCAAGCCAACTATTATACACACTCATTTATCTCTACAGCTTCTTCTTTGAGCTTGATGCTCTGGAATTCTTATGCCTTTTTAAACTAGCTAAGTTTATTGTGTTTTATTCAGAATTTTTTAGTGTTTTGTTAATGAAGGAATTTTAAGATCTCAGTCACATTTGAAAACAAAATTTGAGAATTTCTATTTGATATTAAGAACCTTTACAAAGAAGCATTTTCCTGAGTTCTAGGGATTATCAAGTTAACTAAGTCTTAAGAAGCTCACAATGAGCTCAGAGGAGGGGGTACACTCCTTTAAATGCCCTTAATCCCAGCACTCGGGACCCAAGCCGGCAGATCTCTGAGTTCAAGGCCAGCCTGGTCTACAGAGTGACTACGAGGACAGTTTTGGCTGATGGAGAAACCTTATCACGAAAAACAAACAAACAAAACCCACCAACAACAACAAAAAACCTCACAGTGTAGTTAGGGACAGATAAGGAGAAAGTGAACAACACTAAACTAAGTCATCACTAAACAGAGATACAAGAAAGAATACTTGCAAGGCAGATAAAAAATGATTTTATTTCATGAAAATTGTTACAAGTAAATACTTAAAAATCTTTTTATTATATAAAGGGGGTGGTAACTCTCTCTCTTTGTGTGTGTGTTTTGTCGGCACCTTATTGCTTTTGGTGGTTGGTTCTCCCCTTTTAACTGTTAAAAGTTTAGGTCCTGGGGACTGAACTCAGATCATCAGGCTTAGAGGGAAGAGCCTTTACCTACTTACCAAGCCCATCTGGCAAGTCCTTTCTAAAGGTATCTGTGTTTCTCAGCATGCCTATTCTATCCGGTCAGACTGAAGCTGTTTCATGTCTTGACATCTCCCTAAGGCACTCAGATTACAAACAGAATAGAGACTTGTGCTTCTGCAAAAATGGAATAAACTGAGTTTTTCCTATTCTTTCCACTAAATTCTGCAAAGCTGTGTATATTACATGTAATATTAAACAGACATCAGAAGACTTTGAAAGGTAAAGAGAAGGAAGTAAGCTAGGTATAGGCTATGAGACCTGGAAGATGATAGTGGTAAGCTCCCTGTGTTTTCTTTTAAAATTAATATTTTAATTGACACATTACAACAAATTATGATTATATATACTTATGGGACACACCCTCGTGTTCTATGTATACAATGTGGAATGACTAAATCAGGCTAATTAACATCTCTATCTCATTTGCCATTTTCCATGGTAACATATTTGACATTTACTCTTTTGAGCTGTTTTGAATGCACATAACTAACCACTGCAAACTTGCACAACAGAACTCAAGAACCTATTCCTCCTGTCTGACACTTTGCACCCTCCCACTAAGATTTCCCCCAACTGCCTTGCTGCCCCACTCCAGCCTCTGACAACCACCATTTATTCCACACTTTCAAGAGTTCAGCACTTTCAGTTTCTGTATGTAAAAAAGACTGTGTGGTATACTTGGATTTTGATGTTTTCAAGACAGGGTTTTTCTGTATCCCTGGCTGTCCTGAAACTCACTCTGTAGACCAGGCTGGCCTCAAACTCACGGCTGCCTCTGCTTCTCGAGTGCTGGGTTTAAAAACATGCTCCACCACTGTCAAGCTAAAACTGATTTCTTAAAAATCACATTTATTATTTACTTATTTATTGTGGTGTGTGCACGCAGGTACCATGGGGCCCATATGAAGGGCAGCTCACAGGAGTCGGTTCTCTCCTCCCACCATGTGGCCCCACAGATGGAGCGCAGATGTCAGTCTCGGTGGCATTTACCTTTTACTTGCTAAACCATCTCATTTAGCTTGAGTGGTATTTCTACGTAGGCCCGGCTTATTTTATTTAGCACAATACTCTTCAGATTTACCTACCATATGCATTCTTTTTTGTTTGTTTGTTTGGTTGGTTTTTTGAGACAGGGTTTCTTTGGGTAGCCCTGGATACCAGGTACTAGCTATGTAGACCAGGCTGGCCTCGAACTCACAGAGACCCGCGTGCTTCTGCCTCCCAAATGCTGGGATTAAAAGTGTGGATGACTACTACCCAGTACCATATGCTTTCTTTTGGGCTAGCATACTCTGGACTTGGAAGGGAACTAGCCAGCATGTGAAGTCTAGGCACAGACAGAAAAGTTCCCAACAAAATCTACTTTCTACAGTCAATGAATCATGAAAAGGGCCAGCCTCACAAGACAGAAAACTTAAAATAATAACTACCTTTTTTAGTCATACATCACACACACACACACACACACACACACACACACACACACACACTGTAGTTCCTTCCCCAAGCCATTTAGCAAATTGGAAGTCCAGATTTCCATCCTTATTAGATATCCAGGAAGAAGAGAAGGATCACAAGTTCAGGGCCAGTCTGAGCAATATAACAAAACTATCTTGTCTCAAGTGACAGAACCAGAAGACATATTTCCCTTTCCTTGAGTTTTTAAAGAAAATGTACTACAACTGAGGCAAAAATCATAATATTATCTGATGTGGTTCTAAATTTATGTAGAGAAAATATTTTAGGCAATTATATTTTAAATGGAACAAGACATGTTAAATTATTCTCTTCTCCACCTCCAAAATACACTGAATCCCTACCCCTAGTACTTCAGAATTCGACTTTATTTCTAACTAGGGTCACTGCCAATATTCCAGACGAGGCTAGACTGGAACAGGTCTGTATTTTGAGAAGACTGGTGTCCTTACAAGAACATGGCCATGTGAAGATACAAGGGGAAGACCAAATGACAGCAAAGGCAGAAACTGCAAATGAAGTAAGGCCAGAGTTGCCAGCCAACCTCCAGAAGACAGGGTGCGGTGGGATGCACGGAGACGCCTGCAGTTGTAGTCACAGGCTCCAGACCCGAGAGGCAGTGGATCCCAAATGTCCCCAGAAAACTACCACGGGCACAGAAAGACAGGTAAGGTTTCTGCACCACACTAGAAATGGACAACATTAGACCTTAGTGGTTGTATACACACATGGAGAGCAAACAGAGCACACTACAGAGATGATGGAATGGAATCTAAAAATGGCCAGGCTATACATTAACTGGCTTTTTAGAGCCAAATCCCTATGGTGGAATACCTTGCTCAGCCTTGATATAGTGAGAGGGGCTTGGTCCTGACTTAACTTGGTATGCCAGACTTTGTTGACTTCCTAAGGGAGGCCTTATGCTCTCACAGAAGTAAAAGGGTGGGGGAGGGTGGAATGGGGGGGAGTGAGGGAGAACTAGGGCTGGTATATAAAGTGAAAATAAATAAATAAATAAATAAATAAATAAATAAGGCCAGGCTGGGTGTGTGGCAGACAACTTTAATCCCAGCATTTGGGAGACAGTAGTAGGAGGATCTCTGTGAGTACAAGACTAGCCTGATCTGCACAGTGAGTTCCAGATCAGCCAAGGATATAGAGTAAGAATCCATCTCAGAACAAACAAATAACAACAAAAGGAAATCTAAAAATATAACATCAAAATTATGAATATTTGGTTGCTAAAAAGATTCTGGGGGCTGGAGAAATGGCTCAGCAGTTAAAGCACTGGCTGTTCTTCCAGAGGACTCAGGTTCAATTCCCAGCACCGACATGACAGCTCACACCTGTCTGTAACTCCAGTCCAGGGCTTCTGACACCCTGACAGAGACACATGCAGGCAAAATGCCAATGAACATAAAGTAAAAATAAATTATATATTTAAAAAGGGTTCTGAAAATAATATGTAAGATAAAGTCAGATTGTGGGAAAATATTTATAAATTATATATTTGACAAAAATTAAAATCTTAAAACTTGTAAACACAAAAAAGTTCCCTTGTTAATTCTTGTAAATCCAAGAGTAAATGAGCAAAGGCACAACAAACATTTCACTAAAGAGAACACACTAATGGCACAAGAAAGAATATAGGAAAATACATTTAACATGATTAACTATTAGGAAATGCAAATTAAAAGATACTAGTGTGTACCTTCATGCCTTCATGAGATAAAAATTGTTGATGAGGATGCAGAGAAATTGAATCACTCGTACATTATGGGCAAAAATGTAAAAACCATGCTGGAAAACATTTTTTTTCAGTTTTTAAAAAAACTAAACATACAATTACCACACGGCCCAGCAATTCCACTTTCTACAAAAACACAGATGCTCACAGTAGCTTTACAACAGCCCCAACCTGTAAGTTACTCAACTGGGGCACATCTACACCATGGACTACAGCAGCAAGAGAAGTCCACACTACCATCCAGAGGATTATACTGAGGGTCAGAACAATCTTTAAGGCTACACGCTGTATGCTTTTATTTATCAAACTTTCTTGGACTGACAAAACTATAAGAAAGGACTAGGAATTGCTGGGGGTGTGCACAGGGAGAAGAAGGAGAGGGGTAAGGGCACAGCACGCACCCTTCTGCTGATGTGCCAGCATCAGCTCCTGGCTGGGATACTACGTTATACATGCATTTCTACATGATCTCAAAATAAAAGGCTTATTTTAAAAACAAAAACGGGAAAACTGCACAAAACGAACCACTTACAGAGCTGCGCGTGGACTGTATGGTTAGGATCTATTTAAAGTCATCTCATGAGTATTATTTAATTTTAATATATATATGCTCTTAACCTCTGAGCCATTTCTCCAGCCCTACAAACACATTCCTTTAATGCAGCACTTTTCAAGTCTTTAACATCCTAGTCAATAGTATCCATATTCAAGTCTTTAACATCCTAGTCAATAGTATCCATATTCAAGTCTTTAACATCCTAGTCAATAGTATACATATTCAAGTCCTTAACATCCTAGTCAATAGTATCCATATTCAAGTCTTTAACATCCTAGTCAATAGTATCCATATTCAAGTCTTTAACATCCTAGTCAATAGTATACATATTCAAGTCTTTAACATCCTAGTCAATAGTATACATATTCAAGTCTTTAACATCCTAGTCAATAGTATCCATATTCAAGTTTTTAACATCCTAGTCAATAGTATCCATATTCAAGTCTTTAACATCCTAGTCAATAGTATCCATATTCAAGTCTTTAACATCCTAGTCAATAGTATACATATTCAAGTCTTTAACATCCTAGTCAATAGTATACATATTCAAGTCTTTAACATCCTAGTCAATAATATACATATTCAAGTCTTTAACATCCTAGTCAATAATATACATATTCAAGCAGATGTCTCATACATAGTTTCCTTCAAATTTCTTTAATTTTAGAACTCTTGTTTTTATATGATGCACATTAGTAAGTATATGTCATAAATAAATGTTGGGTTACAGTTTCCTAGCACTGTTCTGCTAGAGTTAGGTTTTACTGTATTCCAATTTAGGCTATAGATTTACTGTTATAAGCCTGAATATATTTTTATCAGAATGTTGGTGGTAGTCCCAAACTACTTACCATGTGACAATATAAATAGAACGGAGTACTAATGTAAAGACCAACATTCCATACATGACCTGAATAGGAGAGAAAGAGAAAGTGGTCAATACAACTCTTCCTGCCTAACTACTCATCCATTCCATCCATTGTCCGTCTGTCCATCCGTCCATCCATCCATCTATCATTCGTCCATCCGTCCATCCATCATTCATCCACCCATCCATCCATCCATCCATCCACCCATCCCGTGGTGAGGAAGCCTGGACCAGAGCCTCACACATACTAGGGAAGTGTTCTGTTACTGAGCTACTACTCCCATTTTCTTTTATTTCACACAAAGTCTTACGGTGTAAATTAGACTGGCCTGGAATTCTGGATCCTCCTGCCTTAGTCTCACAGGTGCTGGGATTATAGCTGTGTGCTACCATGTCCAATTTAAAGTCAGCTTAAAAAGATGAAGAGTCAGGTGCGGTGGCACCCACTTCCATTACTGAGTACTCCCATCACGCAGGAGGCGCAGGCAGGAGGTAATTAGTTAGAGGGTAGCCTGGACTACATTGCTAGACCCTACCTTGAAGTCAGTCACCAACACACAACACTGATCTTTCTCATAATAAAAGATTCCAAAGTAACTGGACACCAGAGTATCACATAATAATATAGGCTGTGAAATAAAAAAACCACTTTTTTTCTAGATTTGCCAATAACCAGATGAGGAAAAGCAGACCAATCATTTATCCTTTCAAACTCTCACTTATTTCATTTATAAAGAAAGTTTCATTTAGTATGATACTGGTCAATCCAATCTGTATAATATGCATGAACAGGTAGCCATATTACATGTGTGTATATTTATATACAATGTAGCATATAATAGATCAAAATTACTAGTTATATTTCCAAATGTGCTTATTTTCCTTACAGTCCTAATTAGTAATAAAATGTATAAAGAAGCATAATAGAAAAAATTTAACTCAAAATGCTTAGTCTTGCTTTTCACAATGTTTACACAGTGTGTTTTTACAAAGCCTGAGGGTCAAATGAGAAAAGAAAGATTCCGTGCACTGACATACGTACTACACCTGGGAGTCTTCTGTGGTGGAAATCTGTCAGGAAACGTAGTCACCGGGCTCCTCGAGACAGCAGAAGGTCTCTCTCAGAGATAGCAATTTGCTGCTAAAAGGCTTCACTGGTCTCTTAGGCTTTCTTTTTTTAATCTACTCTTATATATGCTTTTCTCCTTGTTCCCTTGCTTTAAGCTATGTTGGTATATCTAATGTGGCAGTTATGTAATTAGGGTATTACCTTATTTTGAAAGTCCATCAAATGTGGGCTCTCAGTTGGAGATTTCTGGGTCACCTTGGACTTAATAGTGAGTGAGAGTTGTTATCAGTACTCTTCTTCTCAGGAAATTCAATCTGTCTAGCAGACACCTTTGGTGTTTATCAACCCTTTCCTTTTAGTTTTATTGTGTTACTTATCTCTAAAGCTAAGTTAAATATCTTTTAAAAGTTTTTCACCAACTATCATGGGCAGGAATTTGTATGTCATTTGACATCTTAATACATAGTTTGTAACACATTCCTTTATTTTTATGCATGCACATGGTTTCCTTGTATGCATGTGTATTATGTGCATGCCTGGTGCCCGCACAGCCAGAAGAGGGCATCAGATTGCCTGGCACTGGAGTCACAGACGGTTGGTTCTGACTGCCATGTGGGTGCTGGGAACTGCACCCAGTTCTCCATCAGAGCAGCCATTGTTCTCACCACTGAGCTTTCTCTCTAGCCCTGTGCATGGTTAGCATCAATCTGACTATTAAGCTTGCTGAATACAACCACATCGTTTTCACATGACACTTATAAAAATGATACATTTGCTTCTTTTCAACACTTTAAAATGCTTGTAATTTATTGTTGTTGGGTGTTTGTGTGTGAGACATGCAGGCAAGCAGAGGTGCCCCCTCATCATGAGAACCAGGGACTGAATTCAGTAGTCAGGCTTGCACCGCAACAGTGTTTACCTGCTGAACCATTTTGCTGGCCCATTTTCACTATTTTTATAAACCAAGAAATTAAAAGATTAAAGACTGAAGAGATTTCTGTATAACTTATCAAGTGTCAAGAAACCAAGACTCTTAAATTTCCAAGCTGGTGAGTGTTTCTTTAGCTAAGACTGCTGTTTTCAAATAATGGATAGTGTGTCACCATCAAGAGACCAGACAACTCGTTCATTGTTCTGTTTCTTCATGTGCTAGGGACCGAACCCAAGGCCTTCTGACTGCTAGGCAGATATTCTCACCGAACTCTCCTCCAGCCCCATTAACCATTCATCTTAAAATTCAGACATCAGATTCACCAGAAGATACCATTAGGAGAATGAAAACAGGCAGGTGTGGTGTACACATCTACTCCCTACATCTGGAAGGTTGAGCTAGAAGCTTCTCCAGTTTGAAGACGACTTGAGCTATACAGTGAGACCCTCTCTAAATAGAGCACAACCCAGAACAGACAGTGAGAACAAATGCTGTAGAACAGAGGAGGATCAATACCACTTAGCACAGCTGTTCCCAGACTCGGCAACAGTCAACACTCTGCCTCGTTATCTCTCTCTGTGTCTCCCTTCCTCCCTACTCCCCTCTCTAATTACTTACCTATAACTAAACATTAAAGACATTTTATTATATATCCAAAGTACAAACACAGGGAACTACAATAACCGTGGTATGACACAAAACAGCCTTAATCAAAAGTTACAGTTGCCTTAATATTTGTAATAGGCAAAACGAAACACAAATAAGCCAGGCATGGCTGCTGATGCCTTTAATGCCAGCACTCAGGAGGCAGAGGCCAGCCTGGTCCACACAGTGAGCTCCAGGTGAGCTAGCACTGCATTATAAGACAAGACCTCGTCTCAAACAAAACAAAACAAACAAAATATTACACAGGACATTAAAGATGCATTCAGTTATCACGCCTCTCAATTATGCTGGCCAGTTTTTTGTCAACTTGACATAAGCTGGAGTCATCTGGGAAGGCAGAACCTCAATTGAGAAAATGCCTCCATAAGATTGACCTGTAGGCAAGCCTGGAGGGCATTTTCTTGATTGAAGATTGATGTGGGAGAGCCTAGCCCACTGTGGGTGGTGCAACCCTTGAGCAAATGGTCCTGAGTTATATTAAAAAGCAAACCAAGGTTTTCCGTAGTAGTCTCCATCTGTTGCAAAGAGAAGGTTCTTTGATGAGGGGTGAATACTACACTTATTTGTGAGTATAAAAATAAATGTTCATAGATTGCCGTTAGGGATTAAGCTGTGATTAAGGCAGTGGGTGTAGATTCTCCTCCAATAACCACAGCCAATCAAAAAGGCAGAGTTGTGGATCCTAGTCCCAATGGATACATCTACGAAACAATTCCTGCCCCTAAGGCTCAGGGAATATTGCACACGAGATGGAAAGACTGTAAGAGCCAGAAAGCCAGGGATTTACTGTGAGACTGTCTCTCCTAGTAATATCAGAAGCTACACCCATAAAGTCTCACCAACATGACTGTCCAAATATGAGCTAGACCAGGATGGCAGCAATGCACATGCCAAACTGGACGGAAAAAAGCCTATGAGGCCTCAAGCTTACACAAAGAACACAGGCAACCGAGGGAAGCTGGGAATGGGAGAAGCAGCGTGCCCAAGGAAGAGCTTGTCTGGTGCCAACTGATCACTCTGAAAACATTTATACAGGGAGCAATATACAGACCGAATATGTTATATTTAGGAATATAATTGTATACACATATGCATATATGCATGCAGTAACAATTAGTCTTTTTCTCTCTCTCTCTTTTGGTAAAAAGAGGCCATAAATTTGAAGGAGAGTGGGAGGAGTATATGAGAGAGTTTGGAGGGAGAAAAGGGAATTAAATTATAATTGCTCTCTTTTTTGTTTGTTTATTGTGACTGGGTTTCTCTGTAGTCCTGGCTGTCCTGGAACTTGCTCTGTAGACCACGCTGACCTCAAACGCAAAGACTTGCCTGCCTCTGCCTCCTAAGAACTGGGATTAAAGGTGTGCATCACCACTGCCTGCCTTAGGAAAAAAAAAAAAGCAAGCTGAGCAATCCATGAGGAGGAAGCTAGTAAATCTTACACTCTCAGCTTAAGCACCTACCTCCAGGTTCCTGTTTGAGATCCTACCTTGACTTCCCTAAATGATAGACTATAAATGCTAAGATGAAATAAACCTTTTCTCTTAAGTTTCTTTTGGCAATGGTGTTTATTGCAGTGACAGAATCAAGCTAGGATATTCTCTGAAGTCTTTTTTTCCAGACTAGCTCCTCACTCTTTACTTGTGTTTGATGAATTTAGCTTTTGTGGCCCACAGAATCTTGTTACATGACCTAGGTTGGTTTGAATTTGCAATCCTCTTGCCTTAGCCTCCCGAGTTCTGGGATTATAGGCACATACTCTCTGACCTATGACTTTGATAATTTTAAAGGTTATAGTCAACTTACTTTGGGGAATTTCCTTAAGTTTGGGTTTGTGTAAATCACATGTCTTCGTGATTTACTAAAATGATGCAGTGCCCTCAGTGAGTTATGACAGGAGCTAGCGTGACAACTATCACTGGGGACACTAAATTCATTGTAGATTTTTCTAAATATGGCATCTAAGCCATGAGCTCATATTAATATTGACTTCAAGTTCTTTTTTAATTATTATTGCTCCAAAGTTCTTTACGTTAACTTTGTTTATTTTACATCCTGACCACAGCCCCCCCCCCCTGCAAATCCTCCTCTGTTCTGAAATGGGCAGGCCTCCCAAGGGTATCAACAAAGATGGCATATCAAGTTGCAGTAGAACTAAGCACCTCCCCTTGTATTATGGCTTTGCCAGGCAATCCAGTAAGAGGAATATGACCTTGAATTCTAAAACCTCCTCTTGCTCCAGACTCCTGAGTGCTAGGATTAGAGGTATGCGCCACCAAGCCCAACTATCTCTTTCTATATTTGTAACTAACTCCAACAGTGAGAAACAGCTTGCTTGTTCAACTGTATGGTAGTTTATTTTATATATATATATATATATATATATATATATATATATATATGTATATATATATTTATCAGTACAAAGGATGCAGATGAGAAAGAGGAGGTATGGCAGAAGGCACACACATTTTCCATGCCCAGCTGAGCACGCCACTGTTCCAATCTCTTGAAGCATTTATCTTGTCTTTGTGTGTCTGCATGTGTGCACACTAGTGTGGCACAACCTGAGGACACCGAGCTTTCCTGATTGTTAACCTCTGGGCCGAGGGTGTGAACCACCATGGACATGGGTAGTCCAGCCTACTCCCACTTTTATCAGTGCACATTATTGTTGTATGTGGGGAAGAAAACCATAACTTCATAACCTTTTCCTGATCGTCACAGGCCACAAGCAAGCATATGGTACACAGACATACATGCAAGCAAAACACTCATATAAATAACATGAAATAAATAAATCTTTTTAAAAATTACCTGATGGAATATAGGCTCTTTTACTTTTAGGTAAATCTGAAAAATATTATTAGAAACGTAAGTGAAGGAAGGGATATAAATCTATTCCAACCACTCTTCAGACCCCAGTCCTCTCCTTCCCCATGTTATCCCAACCAGACCCCAGCTACATAAAACCAATCAGGAGGGCGAGCGCCGACAGACAGCTTCTCCTAAGCCAGCCTAGCCACGGCCAAGGAAATAACTATTCAGGCAGAGGTGGACTACGTCAGCACTGGTCTTTAGGTCACCACCAAGGAGGGTGGAGGATACAAGGTTATTCATGAAGGGTAAACAAATTAAACAAATTATGTCGACAGTCTCTGTACCAGCAGAAAGACTACTGTAGTCAGGGATCAGAGTCAAATTTCCAGCTCTTTACTTAATTGCTCCAGGGTCTCAGCAACTGTCACCTAACTTAAAAGACTTGGTGCTTACCTGCAGAATGGAGGACGCAGCATGGAGAATACTAGACTACGTGAAAGGATCTAGACACACTAGATTATCAGTAAGGGAGCCACTTAAACAAATTCCTGTACCCATTTCTGCCTCCCAACTATTCACTACCTAGATACACCTTTAGTTACACAAACCCAAGTTTCAGGCTCCCAAGTCTTGTGGGTGTTAAGTTCAATGCCTTTGCAAGATTGAATATGCACATATTGTCTACAGAAGCACACTTTTAAATGACATTGCACAAAGGAGTCAAAACTCAAACAACCCTTCAATGACTCTTGCCCCACCACAACCAAGTTCAGGCTCCTGTCTCCCTGTCGGGCCTCCCTCTGGTCTCCAGAGCAGAGCTGCTTTGACGTGTCATCAACTTCAGCCTTCTGCATCTGAAACACTGCTCGTCACTGTTCAGAAATCCTCCACAACTCACAAATACTGTTGAAAATTCAACACAGACTATTCCTCCTTCAAGTCTTTTCTGATCTCTTCCATTTCCAACAGAAGCCACCACTCACCACCTACCTATAAGCTCTACAGCAGTGACCTTCTAACGCTGTGACCCTCAACACAGTTCCTCATGCTGTGGGGACCACCAACATAAAACTCTTTAGTTGCTACTCCATAACTGCAATTTTGGTACTGATATAAAATGTAATATAAGTATCTAATATGCAGGCTATCAGATATGTGGGGGTGACGACCCACAAGCTGAGAACTGCTACCTATGGCATTCTACTGGTTTGCTGCTTTCCTGTAAGCTGGTAATCTCCTTGCTGTCCAGAACTGAGCTTAGATATCTTTACATCTTCATTTAATGTAATCATCTAATGAAACTTCATATAGTTTTAAAACTTAGCTAAAAATTTATTTCTGAAATGTTTTTTACTATAAAAAGACTACCATTATTCCCTGTAAGTAGTCAAAGGGTTTTGACTGAAACATTTCTTGTTAACTATAAATTTAATAAAGAGAACGTGTCTAATTTGTGTCTTTCCTTCAAAATACTAACTGGAACTCATTATGTATCTTAGGTTAGCCTTGGACTCACAATCCTCCTGCCTCTCTATCTCTTGAGTGCAGGAATTATAGGTGAGCACCAACAGGCCAGGCTTAAGGATATGTCTCTTCAACACTCTCTTTTCTAGGCCAAGAATTATGGAGTCCTTATTATGTGCCAGATATTAATATTATAGCTAGTATAAAAATGTTCTATTTTATCTTTATTTTTATCATAAGAAAAACTAAAGCTGAGAGAGCACTAAGTAAAAATATTAGATCCAAACTCACATCCAACTGATTCCAAAGCTTGCTTGATTCGCTTCTTAGCTTACAAATGGGTCTAATCTTGATTTTGATACCAACTTGCTAGGTAAACTTAGCTAGCATTCTTGACTTATTCCCTCTGTTAGAACAACGGCATGCCTTCTTTTCATTTCTGTAGTTGTAGGATTCTTCCATTATTAACCAGTACAGAGTTTAGGCAAAGGAACACAGGACTCGGGAAACAATGAATATTCTGTTTACCATCTTAACATCTGACAGTTTCCTTTAGTGGGTTGTTATGCTTCCCTTTTCTTATCTACTCAGAGAGAACCAATAGCTGCTTTTGTTTTTACATTTCTTCATTGTATGCATATGACATCACAAGGTGAGGTCAGAGTGCAGCTTATGAGGGTGAATTCTCTCCTTCCATCCCATGGGTTCTGGGAGTTGAACTCAAGTCGTCAGGTCTCAAGGCAAGCACCTCTACCTGCTAAGCCATCTTGCCATCCTCCCTGTTTACTGTTCACATCTAGAACAGTTTGTACTCTGTGACATGACACTTTCTTGTCTTTCCTGTGTCTCTGGTGTCTGTTTTCAGTCTCCTTGGCTGGCTATAGTTCTCCATAGTCCTCAAATGTCTGCATTCCATAGGGTTGTATCTTTTTAGTCTAAATGGTGTGTTTTACCATGGTACCAGTTCACAGGTTCCGTATTTCTGATACAACCTACACCCCAAACAACTCCCAGATCTGTACCTTTAGTCCACCTACCTACCTGTTAAGCCTCCAGTATCGCTAATACTGGATACTTCAACTCAACATATCATAAACCAAGTTTATTCCTTCCTACATCACAGCATACGCTTACTAACTATCTTTTCTGAACAAGATGTTCGTAGTTCAATCTGCAAAGCAGAGGACACCTTGCAGCTGTCAGTTCTTTTCCCACAATTTTGAGGTTCCAATTATCAAACTTAGATTTTTAGCTTTAGTAGCAGGATCCTTTACCCACTGAGCCATTTTGCTGGTCCAGTTTATTTATTTTTTAACACATATCCTGGGTGTCTTAAGCTGATTATATTATTAAAGATGACCTCAAACTTCTGATCCTCCTGCCTCCATCTGTCTAGCCTAGGTTTTGGGAATGCAGACATTCACCAAGACACTTGGTTTTATTCAATTCTGAGGACGGAATCTAGGGCCTTCTGTACACTAGGCAAGCACTTTACCAGATGAACTACAACTACAATTTTATTATCTTATATATATTTTTAGCTTTTAATTTTAACATATTTTGTTTTGTTTTGTTTGAGACAGGGTTTCTCTGTGTAGCCCTGACCGTCCTGGAACTTGCTCTGTAGACCAGGCTGGCCTTGAACTCAGAGATTTGCCTGCCTCTGTCTCCTGAGTGCTGGGATTAAAGTTGTGTGCCACCACCATCCAGAAATTTAATTTTTATATTTTAAGACTCATGTAGCCTGGCCCTGAATTTGCTATGTAGAAAAAAAAATGGCCTTTAACTCATGATCCTCCTGCCCTTGCCTCCTGAGTGCTGGGATTATAGGCTGTTCCAACATGCTGGCTCCATGTTTTAATTTTAAAAGAAGGTCTTGCTGTGTAGTCTATGTTAGCTTCAAACTTGGGATGCCATGCCTTGGCCTGCTAAGTGCTGGGACTACAGGCATGCACACGACTTACATGGCTACAGGTTCTGTCTTTGTTCCCCTTCTACCCTCTCTAGTCAATAGGCCACACATCCCAGACTGGGCACGGCTGCTTCTTTACATCCTCACCACAGTTACAGTACTTCAATCTTAGCCCCAAATTTTATGAAGTATGAAAGGTTCCTGTATTTAATCTCCAGACTCCTTTAATCTTCTGTAACACATAATTTTTCTAAAACTTGTCTGATTACATTTTTCTACTTTATGGATCAATACTACTTAGAGAACAAATTTAATCTCTTAAGCACAGCACATATGGGACGTTATCACCTGACAGACTGTCTCATTCACTAGACCCATTTACTACTTCCCCTACCATAGGGCAATTACATACATAAGACCTCTCTCAATTGTGCCCGTGATAACTTAATTGGACAATCAAGGCAAAGCATTCAGTAAACACCTGGCACATGGTAATGTTCAAAAAAGAGCAATTCACTTTGCTATTCTAAGGTCTGTGTGTACGGAAATACAAAAGACTAAAAATGCTTGCCACACTGTTGCCCAGAGGCCTGAAAACCCGCTCATAGTTAACATCTAACTTAGAGACTCCCCTGAAGCTTCCCTGACCGACGCAAACAGTATTTTCCTCTGGTTCTGTTTTTTTTTTTTTTTTTTTTTTTGGTTTTTCGAGACAGGGTTTCTCTGTGGTTTTTGGAGCCTGTCCTGGAACTAGCTCTTGTAGACCAGGCTGGTCTCGAACTCACAGAGATCCGCCTGCCTCTGCCTCCCGAGTGCTGGGATTAAAGGCGTGCGCCACCACCGCCCGGCTGGTTCTGTTTTCCTCCCTCAGACACAGTCTTTTGACGTAGCCCAGGACAGCCTCAAGCCTTCAGGCCTAGTTCAGGCAGGAATCTTTGTTTTTGTTTTTGAAGTTCTAAGCTCAGAACAAAACATTACGTAGCCCAGGATGGCCTCAAACCCATGTGTGATCCTCATCAAGCAGTATTTTTTTAATTAAAGTTATGAAGGAAGTGGGGGCATGCTGAGACAAGTCAGAGAGCGGACGCTGGCCTAGAACACACGATGTGGCTCAGGATGGCCTCAAAGTTCTTATCCTCGTTTTAGGCTCCAGGTATTGGGATAACAAGCACACACCATCATCTTGGCTTCAAGAGTAAATTAAATTTTAAAGCAATTTGTTTTTATAATGCTTAATTATTTGTCTGCATGTGCACACATGTGAACATGCCTGCACACGAGTGCAGGTGCTGTGAAGGCAACAGATCCATCTACCGTTAGAGAAACGGGTCTGTGAGCCCGACAGCGGTGTGCACGCTAACCACTGAGTCGTCCCTCCAGTCCCACAGTTAGCGTTTAAAGATGGCTCCTAAAGACAAAAGATACACACATGTATGATGTCCTAACTGATCCTCTTCTCACATCACTATAGGACGGGCCCACCCTTTATTCTCGCAGTCATTATCTTTGATCCCTAGTAGAATGAGTTCCCTCATGGATACCAAGGGCTTCTTAGTCACTTGTATTTCTAGTACCTGACACAGATTTCCAAAGAAAAGTCATAGTATGGCCAACGGGGAAAACCTCACTTCTTGTTTTTAACAAGAAAGAGGGAGTAAGTTCATCCTTGAGAAAAACAATTTTCCCCCATTGCTATTAAGGATTTACTTTTTCAACCTTTTCTTTATCTAAAAACACACACACATTAAACAGTTAATTTTGGGACTGCAGAGACGGCTCATTGATTAAGAGCACTTGCTGCTCTTACAGAGGACCCAGATTCAGTTCCCAGCACCTATACGGTGGCTCATGACCACCTGAAACTCCAGGGGATCTAATATCTTCCGACCTCTGCACGCATCAGTCACACAGATGGTGCACATACATATAGACAGAACACTCAAATACACACAAAAAATAGAATCTAAAAACAAACTTTTTTTTTTTTTTTTTTTTTTTTTTGGTTTTTCGAGACAGGGTTTCTCTGTGGTTTTGGAGCCTGTCCTGGAACTAGCTCTTGTACACCAGGCTGGTCTCGAACTCACAAAGATCCGCCTGCCTCTGCCTCCCAAGTGCTGGGATTAAAGGTGTGCGCCACCACCGCCTGGCTTAAAAACAAACTTTTCAAAGCTTTTTTTAATTAAAAGTAATTTTTGAAAAGGAAATAAAGGTGCAAAGACTAAAAATAAGACATCCCAATTGCATAAAAACATCTCAGTCTGCATAGCTTGACACCAACACTGGAAGCTAACTACTCCAGTCTCCTACACAGCACACTTTACTGGAGACTAAGTATGACTTACCGTGGTTACTATTAAACTGAATAGGACGAGGGTAAAAAGCAGATGGTAGTTTACTGAGCTCTTTGTCTTGAAACATTCAAACCTTTAAAATAAGAGAGAAAGAAATTTACTTTACAATGCATAACCAGGAACAACTCTTGTGATCCAGTAGTACTCTCTGTCTCTACCTCCCACCCTCTGGGTTAGAAACGCTGAGCTGGACACAGACTACAAGAGGCTGTCGGGATCAGTAGGAGTAACGTAACTTCGGCTGAGACAATAAATTTCTCTCCTGCATGTATGAAGTTGGGGAGACAACAAAGTCAATTAAGTAAAGAGAGTCAAATATGGTATCAGATAGTCTACGGCTGATATCTGGAGGCAGCGAGGTGAGCAAACAAGGGAATGAATGAGCGGAGGAATAACCTGGATGAAAAGAAAAATAAAGTAGGTAGAAAGACTCGGAGCCATGCGGAGAGACAGGATGAAGAAGACGGAGGCACAAAGACAGTCCTTTCCAGGTCTAGGGAGCCAAGGCTGGACTCCCTCTATGGGGTCAGTTTCCTCGTGTTCTGACAAAAGGGAAGTCTCTTTAACTCCAGTAGCTTTGTGCATTTGTTATCCTACAACAAAGCTCTCTCTGAATGCAGCTACTGAGATCACTGTGCTGCTAGGCATGGTAGCTCATGCTTGCTACCCAGCACTCAGGAGGCCAGGACTGGAGGACAGCCCTGGGCTGCAGAGTGAAATTCTGTTGAGAAGAGGAGAAAGAGAAAAAGGCATTGCATTATACTTAGTTTTCCTATGTGTCTCCCCAACTAGACTGTGAATTCTTTATGTACAGTGATGAAATCTTACTGTATTTGCAGACAACTACTAGGTCAGTGCCCAACGCACAGGAGATAGCATGGGGGTGCAGCGGGCCACCAGTAAGCACTCAACCTTTGAGGACTGCATTAGAACAGACAGCAGTGCATTCTCACTTTACTGAACTACATGCTTATCTCCTCCGTAAAGAAAGGAGACTGGAACAGGTCTCTACACTCCTTCACCTTTAAATTCTATGGTTTTATGTCTCTGAAGATGATACAAATATCTTACTTTTAAATTATATGATTTTATAATTGGATAGAAAAGTTAGTGTATTTATGAATTATAGTTTCATTTTTGCTTTGTCTACAGCTGAGAAACTTATATCGAATGTTCTCAAAGAATAGTGTGAAGGCATCAGACGGCAGCTCACAATTGTCTACAATTTCAGTTCCAGGGATACAATGCCTTCTCGGTCCTCTACAGGTACACACGAGGTGCACACGTCATACATATAGGCAAATCACCCATATGCACAAATGTTACCACTTTATTTTATGCATTGACTTTTTTTATATATATCCAAGATTTACTGGATGGTTTCCACTTGTCTTGAATCAGGGTGCTTTCAGAACTACTTTGATGCGGGATTCCCCTCTGTGTGCTGTGATTACCACTGATTAATAAAGAAACTGCTTTGGACCTATAGCAAGGCAGAACTTAAGTGGGGAAAACTAAACTGAATGCTGGGAGAAAGAAGGCAAATGCCGGAACTTTACCTGGTAAGCCACAGCCTTGTGGCAAAACATAGATTAATAGAAATGGGTTAAATTATTATGTAAGAGTTAGCCAATAAGAAGCTAGAGCTAATGGGCCAAGCAGTGATTTAACTAATACAGTTTCTGTGTGGTTATTTCAGGGCCTCCTACAGCACTACTTCCTCCAGAAGGAGCACCCAACTTTTTGTAAGCTGTGTTGTCCCAGCTGCTGGCTGCCAGAGGACAGTGGAGCAGCAAACACACAGACTGTGTATAACTGAAGGTCACAGTGATTTTATAGCCTCCTGCGTATTTCACACCCGTGATGTGGGAACTGGGGCTCTTCCTCTTTTCCTCTTCTGGAGAGGGATGAAGGAGAGCTTTACAAGAGGCGTGTCTTACATCACCACCAGGAAGGCTATCACTGCTTTCTGATCTGGCCCTGTCCACACAGGGTTAGTACTCGACTCTTTTGCCTTCTCCTTCCATGTTTACCACGAAGGCTTTCCAGTACATGCTTCACAGATGCAAGCACACAAGGCAAGCAGGTTTAGAAACAGCTGGAGGTCTAGACTGCTTTGAGTACTTGATATGGTCAAAGAACATCCTAAAACCAATCCAAAACAAAACAAACAAAAACCATTCAGGGTCAGAGAGATTATGACCCTTGTAATTTTCTATCATGGGCTCTTTCCAGGGATATTTTAGTGTCCTTCAGAGACTGTGAACCTGAATAATATAATGTATGCCTGACATGCTTATTAATGAAGATACACTCAAATCCTTGAGCAGGTTGCTAAATTTCTCGTGCTTTACTTTCTTGTGTATAAAGCCAGCTCAGCACCTACTGTCGTCATTAGTGGAAATCTGGACACAGTGTGTGTGTGGGGGGGGGGGGGGTCACAAAGCCCCATCACGGCTGAGGAGCTGCTGGGAAAGAGACAGTCTGGATTCTTTAATGGTATGGCCACTGGTACGTCACCTGCACTGTCTTAGAGAAAGCCCCACTTCCAAGAGCAGCTGATCAACACAAGTGGACCTGATAGGTTAAAATAATAACAACAACAACAATAATAATAATAATAAAAATAGAACATGAAATTGGGTAGTTAGGGAGATAGGAATAGATCTAGAAGAGTTCAGGCAAGGGGGAACAGATGATCAAAATGCAGTGTATGAAATTCTCAAACAACTAATAACTATGAGTTATTTCACTTTTCGGGTAAGCTTTTATCAAGAAACAGTTCATGAGCTAATGAAATGGTTCAGCAGGTTAAAGCAATTACAGTTCAAGCCTGAAGACAACGTTCAGTCTCAGTTTACCAGGCTGGGAAGAGAACCCACTTCTGACCCCAGCATGTACACTGTGGTACACACACACGCGCACACACATGCACACACACACGCACGCACACACACACTAATCAACAAGAACAATAAAGGAAACTGGTGCTGGCTCAGCCACTAAGAGTGCTCGTTACTCCTGTAGAAAACCTGGATTCAGTTCCTAGCACATGCGTGCTGGCTTACAACCCTCCATAGCTCCAGTTCCAGAGGATCCAATCCCCTCTTCTGGCCTTCTCATACTAGGCATGCACATGGCGCACAGATATACATGCAGGCAAAATGCTCACACACATAAAATAAAAATAATATTTTTTAAACGCAGTAACTAAAAAAGAAACCACTCATACTACAGTATAGAGAAACTGCTCCAAAACTTTTATGGCACAATTTGGACACATTCTTCACTCAAGAGAAGTCACAATGCCTATTTAAGTCAAATTAGGATACTATCTAAACTGGCATTTAGGGTTCTGAGATTACTGTAGCTTCCCAGAAACTAAACTCTCCACTAATGTCACATTTTTTTTAATCTTTTACATTACGTATCCTAGTAATGTAATTAGATCAAAACCCACCCAGAACTGAATTTCAAATGTCAGTACTCACATGCAGTACACAAATACACAGCAGCTGTAAATCATGGGGAGCTCATCCAACAGCTACATGAAGCAGAGAGACAAAGTGTGAGCATAGTACAGCTATAGTTATGGACATCAAAATAAAATTCCTAGTGCTCAGTCCCGATTATTAATTCTTATTTAATTTCTTTTGCCAATTATTTAATATATGCACCACCATCTAACTTACTTTTTTGTTGTTTTTGAACCATCAAAGTTATCTTTCATCCCTTCTAAGACAGACATCGAAGTCTGACTGACTTATCCCAGAGAGCAGAGTCCAGGCCAAGAAAATCATAAATTATAACTGTGCAGATTTGGTAACTATTTAGAAAGTAAAATAAATAGATATTTGTTATTAATTTTATAGAAAGGTAAGGAGAAAGAAGCTAAAAATGATACGTCAAGCTTCTTGCCTAACAATTCAGGATACAGTAGTGCAGGTGAAGGAGGTTGTGAACCATTTCAGCGTTCTCAGATAGTAGAAATGCCCATCAGGTAATGAGACGAACAGATCTGCAGCTCAGGAGAAAGGCATGGACTCCAGATGTCTGTGGCTTATTTAAAAGGACTACATTTACAAAAATATAAATATTCGCTCATTTGTACGTGTGCACGTGTGTGTGTGTGCACACTCGTGGAGGCAAGTGGTCACCCTTTAAGTGTTTTTCCTCAGGCACTCAAATCTTGTTTCTGACTGAGCTGGAGCTGGTTGAATGGGGCAAACCTGATGGCCACAAAGCACCAGATTGCCTGCTGCCTGGGATGGCAAGCATAAGCTACCATTCTTGGCACTTTTGTGTGGACTTTGGAACTCAAACCCAGGTCCTCACACTTGCAAGGCAAGTGCTTTACTGACTGAAACATTGTACCAGCGCCTACTTACTTATTACTGAGCAGAGAGAGGGCACTGTTGGGCATGCGTGTGACTGCACACATGTGGAGCTGGAGGACAATGTCTGGAAGTTGGCTCTCTCCTTCCACCAAGAGGATCATGAGGATAAACGCAGGTGGCTGGGCTTGGCGGCAAGCACCTTTCTTTGTCCTGTCTCACCAGTCTGCATCTTATCGCTTATTGATGGAGGAAGGTCATTGGTTAAATAAAGAAACTGCCTTGGCCCTGATAGGTTAAAATTTAGATAGGCGGAGTAAACAGAACAGAATGCTGGGAGGAAGAGGAAGTGAGCTCAGACGCCATGCAGCTCTCTCCAGGGCAGACACGATGCAGCCAGCCACCAGTTCAGACATGCTGAATCTTTCCTGGTAAGCGCACCTCGTGGTGCTACATAGATTATTAGAAATGGGTTAAAAGGCTGAAACTAATGGGCCAGGCAGTGTTTAAAAGAATACAATTTGTGTGTTGTTATTTTGGGGTATAAGCTAGCCAAGCGGCCAGGAGCCGGGCTGTGGGAAGAGGCCCACAGCTCCCTACAACAGAATGGCGCCCCCCAAAAAATCTTTTTGTCCAGTTTTTAAAAAACATTTATTTTATTTGTGTAAGCATTTTGGTTTCATGTACTTAGTACCATGTGTATGTTTTGAAAGAGTTTTTGGATCCCCGGAACTAGAGTTACAGATGGCTGTGATCTGCCATGTGAGTGCTGAGAACCAAACCTGGGTCCTCTGTAGTTGGCATACAAAATAACCCAGTCTGAATTTCAGAATGGCCAGTCTACACTAACCTGTAGTGTAACCCTGTCTCGTTAGAGATGATAAGCCAACAGGTTCAAATGACTAGCTAGATAAACTCTTCACACCAAAGACTGGAGGCACCAAAGAATATGTTTTCGTGAATAGCTTATTACTTTTTAGAACACCTCCATGTAACAGCTAATGCTGTTTTAAAGTTATATGTGTCTGCCCAGAATTGGCATACACAGAAAGCCATACTACTTCTTTATATGGTCAATTTGAGTCCTTTGACCTGAAGGGAAAAACTTCAAGAAGACAAGCCTCCCCGCCATCATCCTTTACTTATGTGTTCTTTTCTCAATTTGGAGGTGTCTGTAAACTGAAACAACCACTTTCTTTTGCCATTACTCACCTGCATTTCATACTTCAGAGTCATGTGGAAACACCAGGAGCCCATCCCCACCACTGAAATTAAGACAGGCAAATAAAAGGATTAGCAAGAAATTATTTGGGGGCCAGAGTAACTTCAGAAGTAAGACATTAAGTACTACATTAAGTACATTAAGTACTAAGTCCTGAGGAAAACTAAGTCTGTAAGTTCTTGTGATACAGGACACAGACGATGATGAGTTAGTACTTTGACTGAGGATTTTGGCATAGAAAAAACGAAAGTAGGCACAGTATAATTTTTCTAAAATTCTCCCTACTAAGTAGTTTACTAGATTAACAATACTCTATTTTTCTATAAAGTTTACTGGGTACTCAGGACCAGCTTTCATGTGCATAGTTGGTCAGCTTCCTTTAGCACTCTCTTGTACTCCTCTGATCCACAAAACCTAGCAATATAATTTAAAGAGCCACAATATCATATATCTAAAATTACTGTCAAACACCTAAATGTTCTCTTTTGAGAACTTTCTTGAGGAAGTGTACTGCAGTCTCTATGTGTAAATAATTAATAACTAACGCTGCTTCTTTCTGACTCAGTCTAATTCTTTCTGTGGTCTATAGTCTACAGATCCAATGATCCAAGGGAGCACCTCAGACGCTGGTGGCCGCTTTGGGCTGTCTCTCCTACAATAAATAGTTCTATGCACTGAAGTTTTATGCTATGCTAAGTATGCTGACCACTACAAATGCTCTAGGCCCTTTCGTCTTTACAGAACCATTATCAGTTACCATCTGGACTTCATGCAGTTCACTGACAATGAAGGTTCACAAATGCCATAGCACTATTAAGTAATAAGGAAGGAATTCGAACTCAGGTTCCTTTATATTTTATATACAATATTTATCTAGGAAATAATTACAGAGCTATGTACAGAAAGGCCTAGAAGACATTTTCAATGTTCTGGCTCAAAAGTGGACTTTGGGGGGCTGGAGAGATGGCTCAGCGGTTAAGAGCATTGCCTGCTCTTCCAAAGGTTCTGAGTTCAATTCCCAGCAACCACATGGTGGCTCACAACCATCTGAAATGAGATCTGATGCCCTCTTCTGGCCTGCAGGCAGACACACAAACAGAATATTGTATACATAATAAATAAATATTTAAAAAAAAAGTGGACTTTGTAAGCCTAGCTAATAAAATTTTGTAGTTACGTAGGACTTTTATAACAAATATTGTGTCAATAGTCCATATATTTTATTTCATGCTAACTAAAAGTCCCTCTTTTGGTAGTGCTGGGGATTGATGCAAGGGCTATGTTTATGCTAGGTAGATGCTTTACCCCTGAGCATCCCAAGCCAAAAGAAACTGTAGCTCAAGACAAAGCCTAAATTGTGTAGGTTTACTTCACACTCTGTATTCAGGCAAGCTCCCAAGTGGCTGGAATTACATGTGTGCCCCACTGCACCTGGCCAGATGTGTAGCTCAATTTGTCCATCTTTCCTTACACCTGTATTTAAATCACAGCAAGCCTTTCCAAAATGCTGGACATAAATTCACACATTTTCTTTCAGCATTTGTAATATTTTGGTTTTTATGTTTATTATTTTGATCAACTGAGAATTTATTCTTGTGTATGATGCAAGGTACATAGTCAATTATTTTATCAATTATTTTTCTAGCATCAATTATAAAAATATTTTACCTTCGCCCTAATGACTGGAGATGCCATTTTATCAATAAGCTATGTGTCCAGAAATTTGTGTATTTCTATTTTATCCCCTCTGTTGGAACATAACTATTCATAACAGTTCCTTATGACCAGGCGATGGGCACGTCTTTTTCCCAGCACTCGGGAGGCAGAGACAGGTGGTTCTCTGAGTTCAAGGCTAGCCTGGTCTACAGATGGAGTTCCAGGACAGTCAAGGTTACAGGGGGAAACCCTGTCTCAAAAACCAAAAACAACCAGAAAAGTTCCTTATGATTCTTTGTATCACTGTGTCAGTTGTAATTCATCTCCATTTAACTGATCATATGCATTTGTCTCTATTCCATTGTTTCTGATCTGGTCTTTATTATCTCCTTATGTTCATTATTTTTAGGGTCTATTGTTTTTCTTTCTTAGGATGCAGTGTTAGGGTTACTTAAGCTCATCTTTTCTGAATGGCTTTGCTGTTCCCTATAGGTTTTCATATGCTGTGTTTCCATTTTATTTTCATTAATTCACTCTTTATTCAGTAGTATATACCTTAGCTTCTGCATATCTGTAGAATTCCTAACATTTTTCCTGTTATTTATTTGTAGTTTTACACCATTCTTATCAGAAATATACTTAAAATCATTTCAGTCTTGAACTGTTAAGGCTTGTTTTGTGGGCCAACATGTGCTCTATTCGGGAGAATGTTCCATGTGCGGCGAGGAACATATGTGTTCTGTAGCTGTTGGGTGTACTGTTTGTAAATGTCTGTTAGGTTCATTTGGTCTATTCTGCAATTTAGATCTGCTCAGTTTTGTTTTTTTTGTTTTTTTTCCTGGATAGTCTGACAATTGCTAAAAGTAGCTGCATTATAGTCTGTCTGTACATGCATTTGTGACTGTTGAATTGCCCTGTTTATTATTATGTAATGAGCATCTTTGCCTCGTCTTATAATTTTGACTCAAGTATTCTGGCTGAGCTCAGTGCAGCTACTCCTTTCAGGATCCATGTCCACAGACTGGCTCAGCTGGAGGCAACATACAATTCCCAGTTTTGTTTTGTAATTATTTAGCTATTCTGTGCTTTTTAATTGGAGAGATTAATCAATTTACATTCAAGATAACTGTTGATAAATAAGTACTTGTTACTATATTTTAATTCTTTTAGTAGTTTTGTATATACTTTTCTTCTAGTATTCTCTTTCTTTGGGGTAGTGACTTTTCTCTAGTATATTCCAACTCCATGTATTTTATTTTTAGTGTATTAATTAAGTGTATTAATTTTTTTTTTTTTGCTCTATGGCTACTATGAAACTACCAAGAATGTCCTACAATTATAATAGCTTGTGTTAAACAGGTTAAAAACTCAGTTTGACCACATAGAAGAAAGCAAAAAAAAAATCATTTTGTTTGTTTAATTTTGTAGACAGGGTTTCTCTGTGTATCCCTGGCTGTCCTAGAACTCACTCTGTAGACCACAGTGGCCTCGGACTCTACTGTCTCTGTCTTCCAAGTGCCAGGATTAAAGGCATATACCACCCCTGCCCAGCTAAAAAAACTTCATATTTTAACTTTTTCCCTTCCTAAATTTTAAATTTCTGATGTCACAATTTATATTTTATTATCCACATAATTATTATAATTACCATTACTTTAATAGCTTTGTCTTTTATCCTTCATACTAGACCTAATTAACTTATACTTATAGCTCACTATATATCATAGGGAAATCCTAAATTTAACTGTATACTGTATTTGTGACTTGTATACCTTCAGGCGTTTAAGTTACTCACTGCTGTCCTTTTCCGCTGTTTATACAGACTCTCCTAGCACTTCTTGTAAGGCAGGCAAATTCTTCAGCTTTTATTAGTTCTTACTATTGCCCCATTTTTGTAAGATTGCTTTTCTTGATCTATTATCTTATTCCCTGGCTTATAAGGTTTCTGTTGAAGTTCACTGAGGTATATTAAGAGTCCACTTTATGCTATTTACTTCTTTTAAGATATTTTGTCTGTTGACAATTAGATTATGTGTAGTAGAGGCCGTTTGTTTGTTTCCCAGCCACCCAGACTCTCAAATAACAACACAGAAACTGTATTAATTAAATCACTGGGTGGCCTATTAGCTCTAGCTTCTTACATATTAATTTAACCCATCTCCATTAATCTATGTATCACCACATGGCAGTAGCTTACTGGCAAAGTTCTGTCCAGTGTCTGTCTCTGGCAGGGCTGCATGGCTTCTCTCTCACTCCGCCCTTCTTTCTCCCAGCATTCAGTTTAGTTTTCCCCACCTAGCTCTGTTCTACCCTATCAGGTCAGGCCAGTTTCTTTATTAATCAATGGTATTCACAGCATACAGAGGGGAATCCCACATCAATTACATGTCTTTTGATATTTAAATTTGGACTGAATCTGATTTGTGATCTCCTACTTTCTTAATATTCTCTCTACAGATTTAGGAAGTTTTCTGCTATAATTTCTTCTCTCCCTTCTCCTCCTCTCTGTGTGTGTGTTGTTAAAGACTGATCATTGGGCTGGAGAGATGGCTCAGTGGTTAAGAGCATTGCTTGCTCTTCCAAAGGTCCTGAGTTCAATTCCCAGCAACTACATGGTGGCTCACAACCATCTGTGATGGGGTCTGGTGCCCTCTTCTGGCCTGCAGGCATACACACAGACAGAATATTGTATACATAATAAATAAAAAAAAAAGACTGATCATTAACTTGTGATCGTTAACTTCTGAAAGTTAAGTGCCCTACCTCAAAGCTACATACCCAGCCCTGCTATATATTTTTTTTCTTTCTCTTTTGACAGTCTCATATGACCTAGGAAGCCTCAAACTTGCTATGTAGCAAAGGTGATCTTGAAATTTTGATCCTCTTACCTGCTGAGATTGTAGGCATGAGTCAGCATATCCGCTTTACACAGTGCCTGGGATAAAAGTCAAAGTTTGGGGCATGCTAAGCAAGCATTCTACCAGCTGAGTTATATCTCCACCCCTATAATTTCTTACCTTTTATTCCCTGTCTTCTTCTATTCTTTCATGAACTCAAATAACTCATAAATGCTTTTTGATGTTATTCTACAAATCCCTTAAACCTCTTTAGTTTCCTCTCCTGACTGACTATGTATGTTTAAATAAGCTGTCTGATTCACTGCTGGTGTTCTCTACTATAGGTTTCATTTCATTCGTTTTATTTTTTGGCTGCATAATTTTTGTTTGATTTTTAAAGTAGTATTTCCATCTTTCCTTTAAATTTTTCTAGTAGATTTCTGAATTGTTTTTACTAAGGCTAGTTAAGCTTCCTTTAAAAAAATTGTTTAAGATATATTTATGTGTATGAGTGTTCTGCCTGCACGTGTGTCTGTGCACCACATACATGCCTAGTGTCTGCAGAGGTCAGAAAAGGGTGTCAGATCCCCTGAAACTGGGGCTATGGATAGTTGAGAGCTACCATGTGGGTGCTCGGAACTGAAGCTAGGTCCTCTGCAAGAGCAACAAGTGTTCTATACCATGGAACCATCTCTCTAGGCCCCGTGTCAAGATTTCTTAAACTATTTTGAAATTTTTTGACAGAGTCTTCCATTCTTCTGGGGTCAATCACTGACAACTTACTTTGTCTGTTTGGTGAGGTCATATTTCACTGCTTGTTTCTGATGCTTTGAGACGTGAGATGTTGTCTTCTCATTGAAGAATTAGGTGTTATTTCAGTCTCTGTCAGTATGGCTTTCTTTGTGCTACCCTTTTTCCCTTAACCTGTTCAGAAATTCTAAACAGGCAGATGTATATTTCCTAAGTCTGTGACCACTGCAGACATTTCAGTACTCAGGTGTGCTCTTAGACTGAGGTGTTGCTCCAAGACTGATGGGGGAGCCTAGCTCTATAGATCTGCAGAGGACGCAGGGAAAGTTTCAGAGGGACTCAAAAAATCTGTGGTGGTCGAGAAGTCCCCACAGCTGGGACAGTTCTGACCACAGCAGCAGGAGCTGGAGCTGACAGGGATCCCTTTGAGTAGCAGGTGAACCTATGCTGGTGCCCAGATGTGCACGCACCTCCCACCAGCTCCTCACAGAGTCTGGGCAGTCCCCAACTACAATGAGATCTACATCAGAGTTTTGAGCCAAGCAAAATATAAATTTCAGGTTCACTGTCAGGACCAATGTCAGAAGGCAGACAAACCTCTCTGCCACTGCTCTAATAGATGTGATTCCTTCTGAACACTCTGGCATATCAAACAAGCCCTTAACGTAGGCCTGAACTCAGGAGCACAGCCGGGTGTGGGTGTGAACTCTCCAAACAATCTCAGGCTCCACTACAGTCGCTCACCTTCTTACCAATGCCTGAGGCTTTCAGAGAGACTCTTCTGTGGAGAGGTGTTATGAGACCTCTTATTACACTTATGGACATCACCTCTCCTATGCTACAGCTTTGGTGTGTATTTACTCACCTGAGACTGTTCTCTAGCGTACGGAAGACTATTACAGCACACCACTGTTCTTAGATGTGCCGTCTACGTACCCGTGAGCGCTAAGTAAGCAGCAATGTACCGCTTCTCCAGTCCATCCCTGATGCTCTGAACTGCGCCAAAGATCGGAGGTATGATCATAATCAGGTTGCTCACTGTATTCCCTACATGGAAAAACACAAGAAAATATTAGTTAACCAGCGACCTTAAGAACACATTCATTTCGTCTTTAGCAATAGTTAAATAAGGAACTCACTGGAAAGACTGTGATATCATCAAGGTACTACAAAAAAGTCTTTATTCAATACAAATTTCTTAAAATAATCAAATAAAACAAAGATACTTCCTGAAAAATGAACCTAAGGATGTTTTAGAGTATACCCACTTAAGGCAAATTTCTAAATTCTAAAAGCAAGCAAAGAAAGGATCTCAGAAAAACCTTGGAGATACAACAGTAAGTTAGGTAAAGCTGGAAGTCTATACTCAAAGTGTGGTTCTCTGTAAGTGGATGATAATATAAATTCTGATATTATAACATCACATAATATAAATAATTGGGTTATTTATTTTGGCTGTGGAATTGAAAAGCAATGAACTGAAAGTTTACATTTTATGTGTTTTTGTAATATTTCATTTTCCTTGTAGTGCTTCCAGGACGTGAGACAATAGATTTTTAAATTTTAATTTTTCTGTAATGTAGTGGATCTTATATAATTTTTGTTCTCGTTTTTATTTTTTAAAAAAGTTCTCAGTGGGCAAAGGTGTGTCCCCAAGCCTGATGACGTCACTCTAATGTCTGGGGTCCATACATATGGTGGAAAAGCAATTCCTTCACACTGTTTCTGATTTCCATGTGTGTTCTGGGATGCATGTGTATGTGCACACATGTAGATAAATAAATAAAATGTAATGAAAATAAAGTTCAAACATGAATAGCAAAAGAATAAAACCAAGTTGCCAAAGTTGTTAGTAAAACTAGGAAAGAAATATTAAACAATACAGTGTTATGATAGGCAGAGATGAGTAGCATATTTTCATGTTTCAAGTGAATGATTTTTAATATAGTTACTAACATCAAGATAAATCATCAGCAAAGTGAAAAAGTAGAATGGAGATATTTTCTCAAACAATCCAGGACTGAAAAAGTATATTTGCAACACGTCTTTTCTCTGGATCAAACTAGATAATGTAAGAAGCCAAAACAAGGACATTACTTATGAGAAAAGATGAGATAAAAATCTAAGAAACAGGGGCTGCAACACAGGAAAGTAAAAGACCAAGAGTTCAAGATACCAGTGATGACGCAGCTGGAAATAAAGCAGGAAAGGCAAAAACTGCAGGAAGTTCCCAAGGGAAAATAGGTAATTAATAAGTCAAAATGTTGGTAGGATATCTGATAAAAGTATTGGAAATCTGTACTAAGTTCAGTCAACCTGGTCTCAACTGAACCAGGCATCTGTTGCTGAATATTAGGCTACTTCAACTGTATTACTGTAAAGTATAACCACATACTGTAGGTCCTCCATATCTGTGAACTCTGTATTATTCTGAAAATACTGGAAATATTTTTAAATGTGTATATTAATCACAGACTTTTTCTTGCCATTATTTCCTCAACAATAAATTACAGTAACTACTTACACAATATGTGTATTGTGTTAGGTATTGTAAGTAATCAAGGGATCATGGTGCATATTGAAGGATGCGCACAGATTATATGATTATATTATGCCATTTTATATAAGGGACGAGCATCTGAAGATGTTTGGAAGAAGGCACAGGTCCCCTGGAACTAGTGAGGCCCCATGCGGTGCTGGGCCCTGTGCAAGAGTAACAAGTGCTCTTAGCCTCTGAGACAACTTTCCAGACATATGTTTTAGAAAGCCAATTTAGGAGCTAGGAATTCAGCTCGGTGGTTCAGTGCTTGCCTAGCAAGACCTGGTTCGGGACTCAGCTCCAGGGTGGAGAGGGAGTGATGAAACAAAAGAAAATGAAAAAGTTGATTTAAAAATAGATATAAAATTTCCCTTTAAATGGGAAATTATATAAATGATAGCAAAATAATATACATGATTGCAGACGTAAAACTTTTTTAAACTGCTATTGATCAGGTTCTAACCAGAATCGATAAGCCATGGAGCAATTTGAGCAAGAAAAGTTCACAAGAATTGCTGAAGAGGGTGAGATGTACCTCAGTTGGGAGAGTTCTTGTCTATCATGCATGAGAGAGACACTAGATGCTAGGAATTGATTTCCAATATCACACTAACCAAGTGGTGCGTGTCTATAATTCCAGCACTCAGCAGCATGAAGAGCAGACGTTTAAGGTTATCCTTAGCTACATAGTGAATTGAAGGCCAGCCTGGGCTACATGAGACTCAGTCTCAAAAATAAAAAATATTGGTGCTAAGTCACCTGATATACCTTGGGAGGCAGTGATAGAAGGATCTCAAGTTCAAGGACAGATTACTAATTAAAAGAAGGGAGTGGAGTAGCCAGTAGCTAAGAAGCAAAGAGAACTCTGCAGAATAAAGGAATAGCAGGTGCAAGGAGACCATCCCTACTCACTGGGGTAGAGCGGTGAAACACACTCTCTCTCTCTCTCTCTCTCTCTCTCTCTCTCTCTCTCTCTCTCTCACACACACACACACACACACCTCTCACCCATCAGAAAGAAAGCTGTCTTCTAAGATGCCAGCAAAAGCTGACCGCCCTGCGAGGGTGGGGAAAAGTTCCTGGTACTATGTGCTTTAAACTAACTTCAGGACCTGGGTATTAGAGAAGCTTCCTGAGCTTGCAGGAGCACATGGTACAAGTTTCACCTGAACTTCAAGAACCGGCACCAAGCCGGGCGGTGGTGGCGCACGCCTTTAATCCCAGCACTCGGGAGGCAGAGGCAGGCGGATCTCTGTGAGTTCGAGACCAGCCTGGTCTACAAGAGCTAGTTCCAGGACAGGCTCCAAAACCACAGAGAAACCCTGTCTCAAAAAACCACAAAAAAAAAAGAGATGGAAAAAAGAACCGGCACCAAGACGTTGCCTGGCCAAGATACTAATACCAGGAAGGAAAAGTCCTTCCTCCTGTGATGTATCTCTAGTGCCCTCCACTGACACAGTTTAACTCCTGCTGGCTGTCAAAGAAAGAGTTGAAGATAGTATAGAATGGAATCCTGAATTTGGAGTACAGAACAGGCAATAAGTGACTGTGGTGGTTAAACTTTCATCGGCTGTGTCTGAACTCGGCTGTGGCTGCTGAGGGGCCCTAACAACCACATAAAAATAGGAGATGAGGTGAAATAATGATTTTTCTTTTTCTTCTCTATATATTTTTATGTGGTTATGGTGTTTTGTAATTTAAAGTGTTAAAAGGATTAATGATACATAAATAAAGGCTAAATTACTTCTGCTAAAAATTTAATTTGGCTTGGAATTAATTCCTTGAAAATTATATAAAAAACAGCTTAGTTTCTGGAAATAAAATACATTCATACACCACACAATATTTATTAAATAAAAAATTCTTCTTGGATGTATATTTAAATGAATTTAAACAATCTTTTCAAGAAGGCTAGAGAGACGGCTCAGTAAATAAAGTGTTGTCTGTGTAGCCACGGGGACATGAGCTCAGCTCCCCATGAGCCATCCAAGGGCTGAGTGTGGTAGCGTGTACCTGGAACCCTAGCTACTGGGGCTGGAGTTGACACTGCGGATCCCAGGGGCTCTCGAGCTAGCCAGGCGGACAGTAAGGTGGAGAGCGACTGAGGACAACCCTGGCGCTAACCTCTGGCCTGTACACTCACGTGCGTGGGTGAGTGAACCCTCTTACACAATGCACACACACAAAAGGAAAAACACATTTTAAAGATCTGAAACGTTTAACCAGTCCCTGTATATGACGCCATTTATAGGCCAGGCTGGCAACATTCTGGTACCTTCAGAATTGCTTAACAAAGTCTTTTTTTTTTTCTTAAGAAAGACTCATATATTAAAGTACGGTGCTATGATGAGAAGTTGAAATAGTTCCCCCACAAGCTCATGATTTGACCACTTGTTCCCTTGCTGGTGACGTTATTTTGGAAGGCTCTGGAATGTGTAGAAGATGGGGCCTAGCTGGTAGAAAGGAGACATGAAGGGCAAGTCCTTGAAGGTTATGCCTAGCCCCTTGTTTCTGTCACAAACTCTGCTTCTTGGCCCACAATGTGAAGAGCCCCCACCACACTCAGGCTTCCAGCCGACCCTGCCAGGGTGAGCTGAAGCTAGGATACATCTTCAGATTATGTCTGTCAAGCATTGCTGTCACAATGACCACAAAGCAACTAATAATACACAAGGGAAAAGAGAAAGACAGGAGGAAAGTCAACAAGCAAAGGTAAGTTTAGAAGGGAACTCCGACAGTAGGTGGAGCCAGAGTGCTGGCAGGCTGACAGGAGCAGGCCCTGAGGTGACTAGATGCTACTGCAGTTTAGAGATTAGATTAATCTGCAACTACATAACCATCTCTAAGAGCTAAGAATCAAATATAGACACATTAAAAGCTGCAGAAACAAACCCACTGTGCTTTACTGGTGCTTCTAAGAACTCCTACTGTCAGCAGATGAGCTATGTGAACATGGTAAAGTAACCCTGAACTCTCCCCAAATTTCATTTTGCCAAATATTTTCATGAAATGTCTAAATAATGCTAAAAACTCCTAGGACTTCAGAGCTGGAAAAGGATAGGGAGATCTGGGAATAATCTCTCCAGTTTATAGTAGGCAACACACTATTCTATGGGGGCAATTTATTAACTAACACCTGAATTTAAAAAATGTATAAATAAAAATATTTAAACAATTATATATTTAAGAAATACAATCAGATAATATGTATTCAGTTTCAGCATATCCAGTATTTTCTGGGCCATACATGGTGGTGCACACCTTTACTACCAGCATTTCGGAGGCAGAAGTAAGTGGATCTCTGTGAGTTCAAGGCCAGCCTGGGTCAGCAGGACCTATCTATGGAGAGAGACCCTATCCCAAACCAAGCCAAACCAAGGCCTTCTGACCTCTAAGGTACCTCACTCATGCACATATCCACACGGGGACACAAACAAAAACACATAGTTAAAAATGAAAAATTAAACAAACAAAATACTGCACCATAGCTTATGAAAAGTATTTTTCA